CACACACACACACACACACACACACACACACACACACACACACACACTCGTCGTCCGTTATTAAAGAAATCGAGATAGCGACGCCTCGATATTACCCCGGGACCATTATGCGTTTTAATAAATACTCGAATAAATTGTTCGTCCCTCGAAGCTCAGCTTCGCTCCAGACGCGCGTCGGCAATAAATATGTATAATATTTTCAAAGTGGTCGCCGGGGTAACACCTCTGGTCGAGCGCGAAGGCTTAACGGGACCCGTTTAGAGGCAGTAAGGATGGCAGAACTGATAGACCAGCCTCTGGCTACGTTCCGTCTTCTTCATGATCCCCTTCTTGTAGTACTGCCTGATGCTACGGCTCAGCTTGTCGTAGTTCATGGCCGGGCGATTTTTCCGTTTGCCCCAGAGCCTGGCCACGCGGACCGAGTCCTCGATCTTGAACACGCCCTTGCCGCGATCCAGCCAGCGTATGCAGGACCCGTGGATGCCTGGGCTCTGCAGCAGTTCCTTCAAGAACTGCCAGAGGTGGATGTGGGAGCCACCGTTTCGCATCTTTCCGCCGGTGCCGTTTGTGACGCTGCCGGGGCCCGTTTGCGAAGAACCGCAGTCCTCGTCTTCGTCTGGAAAAAACCGGCACCGAGGCGACACGCCTCCTTTTGGTAAGTGATCCAGGACGCTCACGGACGATCGGTGTCCTGATACGTGGTTTGATGTCCTTGTGACTTGTGTGTGGAGTGCAGTTTCTGATCGTTGAACTAATGTTCAGGATCGTTAGGTACAATTTATTTCGTGTTGATGGAGGAGGAAGGTTAATAGGAATTACTGTTATAGGCGGTAGAATTAATAAGAAAAATATGATAGTGGTGGTTACTCATGTCAGACTTAACTACCGGTAATTTTCTAGATAAAATTTTTAAAATAGATATTTTTTTGTGGATTTTCGATGAAGAAGTAAGTGATATTAAATTGAATTTAAAAAAGAAATTTTGACAGAAAGAATCGTATCACAAAATTCATGTACTCGTTTGCTAGATTCCTTTTAGTCTAAAAGTAAGTCTAAGAGTACATAAACTCTTTTTACTTTTCTCGATGGGAATTCATGTCAGAATCAATTACCAGTAATTTTCTAGATAAAATTAATATTTGTACCAATAAGAATGTGAACCATTAAACGTTTACAATTTGTATATCACGCTGCTGATAAAGGGATAAAAAGCCACTGGAATTCTGGTTCATAAGAATTTCATTTTATAATTTATTGTGTTCAGACAGTTAGTCGATTAATTGTGATTGCTGATATTTAGCGAGTTAGTATCCGTTATTATGTCTGTTTAGCAGGAACTACTATAGTTTGATATTCTGGTGTTTCGTGTACAATGCGCATTTTCAATATGATTCTTGTATGATTTTTAATTAATTAATAGGGACACTTTGTGTTGTGATATATTAATGTGTTCTTGTATTTATAATTAGTTTTGTGGTTATTGCAATTTTACTGTAGCAACGTCGTCCATCGTAATTGTTAATAATCAGTATGAGAGCTTGGATGTGGAAGCAATACATAAAAATTCTGAAGGATCAATTTAAAAAAGTGTACTTTGAAAATATATCTATATCTCAAAGACAAACCATGTTAAATTCAAATTTTGTAAAGAAGTAAATATTCCAAGTCATTCAACTAATTTGATATTTTTTATTACTATTAAGAATATCTAATTTACAAAATTTGGATTTAATATATTTTGCCAAGTCCTGCATAGTAAAAATATAAGTTATGTATAAAGATTGACTTACCATCGGAGAAGTCAATATTGCAGGGAGAACCTTTCACACTGGCAGGAGCTGCATTTGCAATAGTAGCTGATCCAGTTGTGTTGTTGTTGTTGTTGTTGTTGTTGGGGGTTTGTACGACACCCGCAGGACTCCAAGAAGCTGCCAATGTATTCCTCGGGGATTCCTCGACCGCTGCCTTCCAAATTTCCAGCTGTGCGTGCAGCATGCTTCCGCACTGCAACATAAATTTCACATTCTCGTTAAGTACTGTTCGACTCATATTTTCAGTATCTAAATTACATCTTGTTTCGAGAGAAAATATTCTTAAAGGCAATTCAGGCATTTATTTATGTTAATTTCTGGTTGAACGCATTTGTATGTAAGAATATTTTAATCGAAGAAAGTAGATAATTCATAATTTATTATATTCATTTATTTTGAATGTTAAATGGTACCATTAGGTCGAATAATCGATACTGTTTTCTCGACGTCACTCGTGTGTAATACGACGATATTAATAACGTCACGTTTTAAGTGATTCATTTATTAAAAATAACCAAACTATTTAATTTAAACGTTTCGACTTCTAATATAAGTTCCCTTTACTGTGTAAAAATGCACAATTTGTGATAACTAAAAAGGACCAAATCAGGAGTCAAAGTTTATCATACAATATATATTATATATCGTAATATATTATACATACAATGCAATATTTCTTGAAAATATTTGTATGTACCCAAAATAATCATAAAATATAATCCATAAATTAGGACAATTACTTCGCAGAAATATATTATAGATAATAGCCTAGAATTGATCAATCTTGTCGAAAACTCAATTAAAATCAATAAAAATATTATCTTCGCTCTTTCGCCATTTGAAATGGTCGTGTATCGAAATTCATTGCAAGCATTACAGTAATTTCGTCGACTAAAGTGTCTTTGCCGTTGGCTGACTCGCGAAAGTACTTTTTCTCGTGCATCCTCAAAAAATCACGTTATCCCTAATGACTCCACACGGACTCCATTTGCATGAATACCTGTCCCTCGGTACGGCACGAAATTCCCAGAAAGTAAGAGGAGAACGGTTGGGAGAAGAGACGGCAAGAAGGCGTAAGCAGATAAATTTATCATACTCGAAGATTAATAATACCGTGCGCGAGTTCTGTGGTAATGTAAAACAATTAAGCCGGACGGTAACCGCGCACAAGAGAGACAGAAGCTGAAAAGGACAAACGCAAATAGGTGCCGTGCTTGCCGACAAATGTAGAGAACGAACGGGAGCGCTTAACGAGGAGTCGCGAAGTTTCAGTTGAATGACTTTGAAAACGTAATTAAGCATAATGGAGCGACTCTACGAGGAAAGCGAGTAAGAGTTACAATTTTCCTTGAAAAATAAATTGCTCAAAATAATTAGAAGATCTGTCTCCATTAAACGACAGGTGAGACAATACTTACAAATCTTGGATGCGGTGAAGCCTATAGCTCTATGAGTTATTCGGTTCACGACCTTGAATTAGAATCTTTCAAGTCTATTTTGAAATGGATGCTGATCAATTTTAAGTAGAAAAAAAGTAGTAAGGAAAGTGAAAACGCTTCCTTAACTCGTTTTGTCTTCTATGAGTAGAAAATATTATAAATTATATGAATTATTTCAAATATTATAATGTACCGTATTGGTAATCGGCCTCTATAGAGATTATTCTTTAATTCGAAATCGCATTCAAAATTACAGGTATTAAATCTATGAGCAAAACGATAGTTATTGTATTACAAATAAATAGTCTGTATGATTTACATAATATACAATGATTTTAATAGCTAAGATTTCACCTGTTGAAGAAATGTACTCTTTCGACATTAATTAAACAAAACAGTTGACTCTCTTCGTTATGGGACCATTCGCGAATTTTCTATCTTTAGTATACTCATTTTCCATAATGGGGAAACACAGTTCTCATAATTGAATTACGCTCAATTATGTAATTATTATTTAATTCAAACTAATCGATAAATTCAATTGCTAATTACTGTAATTATGAATCTGATTGAGATTAAACGTAATTACAATGTAATTCAATTACGAAACTTGATTATATTAATTTAATTACTTTTAATTGAATTTCGTAATTGAATTACATTGTGTTTCAGGTACGTAGTGATTACAATTATAGATAGTTAACATATTGATCAAGTACACTTTTCGTTTGTTAGAAGAAGAATAATTTCATGGCTACCAAACTTGTAATGGCCATCAGGACTTTGGCATCAATATACATATAGATTTATTCTGACAGAGAAATTCAGGTTGAGAATCGAGAAGGTTGGTATTTCAACATAACAGAATGTAAAATAAATACGTCTACTTAAATTTAAATTACAAATGATTGAATACAAACCCAGATAATATATTTCCACACCTAATAATATTACCAAATGTTACTAAATACATACCCTAAATAGAATTTAACAAAAACAATTATCCATCAAAAGTGGCAAGTGTCCGCGTGCTTACGATGAGCGGTGCACGCAACCCCGAGCCAGCGGGATCGGCAAGGAGGCCGCGAAGAGATGAACGCACCGCCAATAAACACCGCGACTTTTAGGTAGCCGGACGTCGCATGGCCAGGCGGAACAAGGAAACGGATTGATAAGAGGAAAGTCCAACGACGCTGAAACGCTTAGACGACGGACGGGGGAGAGTGGGGAGGGGGGGGGGGGGAGAGCAGGTCCGCCACACGCAAGTGTTAGAATTCCAGCGACGAAGTCACTGCGCCGCGAAGAGAAGAGAAAGCGGCTCCGTTGAGACGCAACAAGAAGGAGTCGAGCAATCTAGCCGGACGGCCAGGCATTCAGGCAGCCGTTGACCCACTTTTCAGTCGTTTCTGCCGGGCAAATAGCGCGTCCGTGCACGTATCCGAACGCCAATCCTGTTGCTCGACTCCGCTGCGGCTGCTGGAGGGAACACCGAGGGGGGAACGGGGAGGGATAAAACCCGAACGAACGCACCTTAGATGCAGTTATGCGCCGCGGCTGCACCGCTGCACCGCTGCAGAGGCCACGCGGACGGCGACGACGTGTGACGCACGGCCACGGGTTCCTGCGTGCAAACGCGAATCGAGTTCTAGTTGGCGACAAACGGTGCATCCGAGTCGTTGCACCTACGGGGGAACGGGGATGCGAACGGGTCGGGTGGGGAGAGGATGAATTGCAACGCTCATACCGGTCGGCTTTTCCGTTTCGCCGAACGGTCCCGAGAATTTATATGAGATCTTCGGCGGGAGTTGCGGGCATGATTTGAGAATTTGAGGGTTTCTCGACAGAAGCTTTATAGTTGGGGAATGGGCGATTTTACTTGCGCCATTTTGAAATGAAAATAACCCTTTTCCTTACGAAAGTGTTATAACTAGACTGCGGAAGTTTATGCAAATGCGTATCTTTATAAGAAATAATTAAAAGAGTGGGGCCTGCCTGGACAGAAATTTGTTTTGAAATTAGAGTACTATAAAAATACATTTTTTATTTTGCATGTTTATGTTTAAAAACATATGCAATGATATATTAGAAAGAATGTAGGATTTTCTACAGTATCGAAAACTTTCTAACATTTTAAATAACGAGGGCGTTCAAGGACCAATAAGTGTGCCGGAACAATGTTGGTCTAGATTTAAATACGTACCGATTACTTCATATGACGTAGAGCGATCGTTCCCCGCGTATAAATTAATTTTGACAGACAAACGCCACCAACTAATACCATTAAATTTGGAAAAAATGCTCGTAATTTATTGTCACGCGAATTATAATACACCAGAATAATTGTGAAAAGTATTTTATATATGTGTACATAGCGAATATTCTATAACATACTAATATATTACTTATTATTAGACTGCGGATCTTTATGCAAAATAAAATCTTCGCGAACGTGCCTCCAAATATCGAACCTAAATAGGAATTTATTTTATTCTGCAAATATTATAACATGACCTTTACTTTCAACATTTTTTATATTCTTCCATATTGTTTGCATTTTGTAGATTCTTGTACATTCAAATTTCCTATAAATGCATAAAGATCCGCAGTGTACATGTTATACTACATTTTATTCAAATTTTTCGTGCATATTTTGGATATTTTTCATCCATATTTTGCATATGCATGTTACATATTTATCGTGCATAAACTTCCGCAGTCAAGTTATAACTGACGATATTTTATATTGGAAAACATATAATGAAGTTATTAAACTTATTTTGAAAAAGTATAATGAAATTTTCAAATGGCTGATTTTTGGTATAACGGTGTATAGAGACAAGGTCAGAGAGGTAAACTTAACCGTCAAAAAGAGCGCTGCGAAGAGCTATAGCAAAGGGTCTGTTGTATAGTAACCGTATTGATAGCAATACCGATAAGAAATTAATTACGTCACCGACTTCAAGTTATGTTCTTGTATATAATCCTCTTAATATCAAGTATAACGTCAATATATTATAGTAATTAATTGCATATTCGCGAATAACAAAAAAGAATACTGTCAGACATTTTACACGCTACATAAAGGGTGCTGGTACATAAAATGCAACTTCGTTCGCATTTAGCACCCTTTATTCATGTGCAAAACGTCTGGCAATATTTTTTTGTTATTCGCTAACATGCAATTAATTACTATAGATACCAAAGACCAGCCATTTCGTTGTTCATCCATGCATCGTTGTTCTGACAACTGAATGCCAAACGATGGTTTTCGTCATCGTCAGTTATTTCACTTTCATAAATAAAGGGTTATATTCATTTCAACTATACATAGATATGTAAAATATGAATAAAATAAAAAAAGTATGAATAAAATATTTTGAGAAGATCTATTCTAGATATTATTCCCTATCCTTAAAGATCTCGATGTACTCGGAACTGTTGACTGCTGTTTCTCTGAAGTAATGAATTGTCAATGAATAATTATCGAAACGATATCACTGCATGAAAGAACAAAACGAATTTATGTCAATATACAAAGAAAATTCGTACATCACAAGTCAATTCGATACTTTGTATTATATATTTAATATTTGAACTCAGTTTTCAGTACAAATATAACCAGATAGAGCACTTTTGCAATTTGAAAGACAACGGAAGAAGTTCATGAAAATGCATTTGTCAAAAACGCAAATTTAAATGGAAATTAAATAGAGAATACAGTTTTTCGAGGAATCGTGGATTTTGTAAACTGAAT